TCTTTATAAATTGCAATTTCACTTTATTAGAGTACCTGGGAGCTGGTAGTGTTTTCTCATCAAGAAAGACCCCTAGGTATCTTCTCTTTGCGTCTTTCGAACGTTCACCCTCATTCACGCTGCCCTCTTGAGCAGTACCTTGGATTTCCAATGGGCGTATTTAGCCCCTCTTAAAATGTGTACTATTTGCCAAGTGTTTATATTAATTGCTCCCGTGGGAGCTTCATAATATAAGCTTCAACTCCATCTCTTCATTGTCACATGTCAGCTTCCTCCCATTCCACCTAGAACACTGTCTTTGTTTCTGTGGATGGAAGTGATATAAAGATGCTTTATGTGTTTAGAGGACTGTTATAATATTGATGCTGCAGTTACTGGATTCTATGCATCTTTCTTAAAGTGAAACAATCCCTAAAGAAGATTTATTACAATATCACCGAACTAAGTTCAGGACTGAAGCATAGAACAACAACCAAAAAAAAAAAAAAATTTTTTTTCACTCTTCTTCGAATGGCTTGGAATCATCTGAATTATTATTGTCATTATTATTATTTTTGATTATTGAGAGGCAGTGAAGCACTTCACCTCCTATTTCTGTGGAAATGCAGGACCTGCTTACTTTTTTCCCTCTACCTCCCAATTACTGAACTGCTCTGTTATCCTTTTTCTGGTCCTGGATTCTGATCCATTGATAACCACCGGGCTCTCCCTCCTTCCTGGTAGCTACTAGCTCAGTTCAATTCCTGGAACATTCTGGCATGAAAAGGACTCCAGAGAGTAGACCCCTCTGGGGAACTCAGTCCAGGCATGGAATCCTTGACAAAGAAACCATATGGAACCCAGCAGAGTCTTTATTCCCAGGAATCCCGGGAACCTGGGAATTTGAGATTCAAACACCAGGGAAGAAAACAAGAGACACAAACCACACTCATCCTGGAAAAGTCTCTGATATGGAGCGGGAGAAAAAGGGATATGAAACGTGTGCCCATCTGGATTGTAGCTATGTAACGTCTTTATTTATGAAGACAAAGGATGGCAACAGAATTTACCAGAGTGAAAGCAGGTTGTGTTAGGTGGTCAGGGTTATTAAGTATTATTTTCTCCATTTTCTGGACCTTCTATTATGCACTGTCTTTATAATAGAAAAATGGAAGAAAATGAGGCTTTAAGGAGAGAAGAGCAAAATCCCAGCCACATCTGCCCCTCTTTTGACCCCTCACCTTCCAGCACCTCAGACCCCGTCTCGCATTGTGTGGAGGTCCACTAGCTGGGAGCAGAGGGAAGGGAAACTGAAACTTGGTCCTTAGCTGGGTGACTTTTTCACTTCCTATGGAAGGGTGAACTGAAGAAAAGCAGAAGTCAGGGACAATTTTTCCAAAGTGATATGCTGATCTCAAGGTGCCTGTTTGAAATTCCTTGAAAGATAGGTACTGCCTGAACAGCCCATGACAAACTTAAGTGAATCTTTCTAGAGGTTTGAATTTATGTATTTATTTTAACTGAAATTTTTTTTCTCATGATTTTTTTTTCCCCTTAAAAAATGAAACAACTAGGCGTGGTGGCACAACGCCTGTAATCTCAGTGTCTCGGGAGGCTGAGGTAGGAGGATCTCAAGTTCAAAGCCAGCCTCAGCAAAATTGAGGCACTAAGCAACTTGGTGAGACTACGTCTCTAAACAGAATATAAAATAGGGCTGGGGATGTGGCTCAGTGGTTGAGTGCCTCTTGAGTTCAATCCCTGGTACCACCACCACCACGACACCCCCCAAAAAAAAGAAAAAAGAAAAGAAACAGCCACTTCCCATGGAAGCACATGTAATGGAATTGATACCACTCAAAGAAAGTAAGTCTGGCCCTGCAGCAGGATGACATGAAGGACCAAAAGCATCTCAATATCAGATGAGGGATGTCATTAAGTATAAAAAGCCCTGGGCTGTGATGTCACTCAGTCTTGAATTGTGTCCATTTGGCAATTGAGTTAACCCTTCTGGACCTCAATCATCGCCACAGATAAGCAATGGGAATTTTCCCTGCCTTGAGTTACTCTGAGAAGGCAAAGGGCTGGGGTTTGCTAGTCTAAAGTACTCAACAAGGTGCGGTTCTCATTTCCTTCTGACCTGAGTTCTCCTGTCCATTCCTGTGCATCTCATTGGACCACTTCTATGTCAAAAGGAGGCAGAATGGCATCTGAGACAACATCCCTTGTCACTGCACACATTCAGATATGCCACTGGTTAAATCATGATCTACAAAATGTCCCAACTACAAGTCAAACAGAGTCTAGTTGCTTTGACAATTTTCAGTACCTGAAAGGGGTGGGCGGGATGCTCTGGGGCCCTGGTGCTCTCTGGCATAGGGATGAGGAGCTCGAAGCTTAGGTTCAGATCACCACAAATACACTGAGGGGCTCGGGCAAGACACTTTGCTCCCTAAGCCTTCAGTTTTCTCATCTGTAAAATGAGGCAAATGGTCAGAATCAGGACCTTCAAAATAGATTTTAGCAGCACTTCAGTATTCAAGTTGAACTTTACCCAAAACAGTCACCCCCCTTGTGGCAGGGAGCAGTTACTCTGGTTGTGGCCACCCAGCTTGGTGACCCTCACTCCCTGTGGTAGCCCTTCTGCAAGACCACAGAGCAGAGCTGGAGACCACAGGTTTACCCTCTTCCAAACCTCTTCTCAATCTAACAGGGCACAACATATTGAACAGAATGGGTATTTAATACTGTGTTAGAATAATAAACATCTGGCCACAAGACGTGACTATTTATTTTAAAAATATTGTTAACCTTTATCAAAGCATATTATCAAATTACTTTGTTTGCTTCCATTTAGGAACAATTTCTAAAAAAAAAATTTTTTTTTTTTACTCGTGACTGCTTTA